ACCCCATCCCCACAGGGTCCCTGATAACCTGGTCCCATGGGTGGGCCTGTCCTGGGGCATTGGTGGCATTCTGGGGGCATGTCTCTTGCTGTGCCATCTCTGCCTCCCCCTGGTAAGAGCTCTGTCTTCCTCTTCCTACAGGAAAAGAAATCAAACAATGAGAGACAAAGCCAAAAGGCAGCTAGAGGTGAGTGGAGGCTGTGCAGTTCCCTCCTGTCCTCCAGAGAATGTTTCTTTCCTTCTCTTTCAGCACTTGCTTGGCTTTTCTCCCAAAGGTTCAAATCCAGAGATTGAACATACAGAAAGAGAAACTAAATACAGACCTGTATCACATTAAACGTTCCCTCAGATACTTTGAATGTAGGAATCTGGGCACCCTGTCATCCTTCAACCTGGCACTTTGACATGTCTTTAGGGGGAGTTCTTTGGGCCCCATCTCAACTGTCTCATTACAGATGAATCCAAGGATCTGGCCGGCTGCCTGCAACATTCATTGCAGCATATAGCAGAGTTAGAGCGGGCTCTCTCTGCTGTCACCGCCACACAGGAGAAGAAGGAGATCAGTGTGAGTTCAGCCACTTGTCCCTTCCTCTGGCAACTTGGCTTCCTAGATGGAGGAGTGAGCCTAAAGCTCCATTCTACAGAATGGAGTGTCCTGCCCAGAACGCAGCATGGCCTTTTCCTTCTGCTTTTGTGTGTGGTTGTTAGAGCAACCTGGGCTGAGTCAGCTGTTGTGGGTGAGTTGGGGAGCACTGTGGGGAGTGAGTACTGGATGCAGAGCTTGGAGGCCAAGTGCCTGCCCTGCCCTTACCTGGCTGTGGTCTTGGCCAAGTACTAGGTGTTGGGTACTTACTTGTACTGTGAAGGTACAGAAGAATACCTTTAATATGTTACCACTTCTGTAGTGAGAGGAAGCGTGTGTGTGTGTGTGTGTGTGTGTGTGTGTGCATACTATGATAATATACATAAAACATGTCTTTAAGGGTTCATAAGAAGCTCAGGAGATAGCAACAAGGTGGCTGGGAGACACTTCCCTTGTGTTCCTTCTGAGTTTTAGACTATATGAATGTATCATCCTTTCAAATAGTGAAAAAAGATTAATTTTCACCTTCCTATCTGTGCCCCTACCTCCAACAAAAAAATTGGCTTGGGAATTGGATAGACCTGGGTGTTCAAATCCCAGCTCTGCCTAAGTGATCTTAGGCAAGCACTTAACCTCGAATACTCCATGTTTTTTCATCTACACAATAGAGGTAATCATAGTAACTGTCTCCTACAGTGGTTGCAAGGATTAAATGGGATTGCTAGCATGGTACCTGGTGAAGCACTCAATAAAAGTTCAAACAGTGGTAATAATAACAGTAATAACAAAGCAATATTATCTGATCTCTCTGGATGTCTGTTAGCCAGCTGTAAATTCGATCTTTTCCCTGTCCCTTCCAACTTGATGAGTTCTTTTAAAAACCAGACCATGGGCTTGGAAGTGCCTTGATCTTTACTGACCGAGTTGTATATTGAGTCAAGCCCTAGCCCTTTTAAGGGGCACTGTGTGGAATGCCCCAGGTCCCACAGATTGGAAACTTCTCACTCTTCACCATCCAGACCTCGAGCCGCGGTAAAGCAGTTATTGAGTGGCAGTTAGAGCAGTCCATATGGGAGCAGGCACTGCTGAAACACATGCGACACAGGTGAGGTTTTGCAGAGGGAGGGATGTGGAAGGAAGATGACCCCAGGTGACCAGGAGCAGGTGAGGACCAGTGACGGCCCTTCCTAACTTCTGTGCCCGTTCTTGCAGTTGAAGGAGTTGCTTAAACAAGTCCAGCTAGAGAGAGATGAATATGCTTAACACATAAAAGGAGAGAAGGCCTGGTGGCAGCAGAGGATGAGGAAAATGTCTCCGGAGGGGAGCTCTGACCCTTCAGTCCCCCACCTTCAATAGGTCACTGGATCTTTCTGGGCATCTGTAAAATGGGAACAGTACAGCCAGAGATGGTCATGGGCTTTGTGGAGGTGGGAGCAGAGAGGGAGATGGCAGCCTGTCCAGCCACCAGCCCCTCTCTCCAGGGCCCTTTGCCCCCGTGCTTTGGGCAGGTTTGCACATTGGAGAAGGAGAAGAAGCATGATACACGTTGGGTAGAGAAGCTGGAGAGGAGCTTGTCCAAACTCAAAAACCAGAGGGGTAAGATGGGGCTGGCATGACCTGGGAGCAGGCTGGCATCAGAGGGCCCTGGGAGTGGCTTAGAGTACCCCAGGGAGGTGGGTGGATAGAAGGGCTTTGAGGCAGAGGGAAAGAGGTCTGTGCCAGGAGATAGCAAGTCTTGTCGTCTCCATGAGCCTCAGTGTCCCCATCAGCAAAGAAGGCCCATTGTCAGCCACCCACAGTGCTCTCTATCTGAAAGTGGTTCAGAAGATTGGCTACCATCTGGGTGCGAGGAATTATTAGCAGCGTGGTCAAGTTTGGGGAGCCTGAGAGGAGCTGTGCACCAACAGGAAGTGTTTTTGTTTGTTCGTTTGTTTTTTTGAGAATCCAGAGGCCCTTATTGCCTGCTTCCTTTCTCCGCTGAACCCCTGCCTCTGGAGCCTCCAGCAGTGCCCTCTGAGGTGGAGCTGCAGCATCTGAGGAAGGAGGTTGAGAGAATGGCAGGAGAACTCCAAGCCCAGGTGGACGACAATCAACGGATGAGTGTCCTGATCTGGGGGCAAAAGGAGAGGCTTCAGGAGCAGGAGGAGAGGTTTCGGGAGCAGGAGGAGAGGCTTCGGGAGCAGGAGGAGAGGCTTCAGGAGCAGGAGGAGAGGCTTCGGGAGCAGGAGGAGAGGCTTTGGGAGCAGGACGAGAGAATTCAGCAGCTGGCCGAGCCACAGAGCGGCTTTGAAGAGCTGGTGCGTTGCCCACCTGGGGAGCCTGCCCTCCTACCAAGCCCTCCAGGCCTTGGTAGGGGCGTTTTAGCCCTCATGTGAAATGTTACTTCTAAAGGCACCTGTGAGCCAGAGCGCTGCGCTGGAGGCTGTGGAGAGAGGGGATGATTTTTCTCACCTGCCTCCACCCTTCCCGGTGCCATGGGAGGCAGACACCAAGTTCTTGGTTCTCCAGCTGCAGTGGGTGGCTGCTGATTGCTTCTCTCTGTCCAGAACAGTGAGAACAAGAGCGCACTGCAGTTGGAGCACCAGGTAAAGGAGCTGCAGGAGAAGCTGGGCGAGGTGAAGGAAACAGTAACCTCCATCCCCCATCCAAGAAGGGCTGGGAAGCGAGCACCAGCCTCTGGGGAGGGGAGGTACCAGGACAGAGGCCGCTCCAACCTGGGGTCAAGTGGCCCCAGCACCCTCCAGGGCAGTCCTGTGACTGTTTCTTGCTTCCTGCCCTCTGACTATTAGACATGTGGAGCTCTGGGCTCCTCCCAGGTCTGGACATCATCATCCCAGCTAGAGGTATGGAGCCCCCAGTCACAGGGGAAGAGACAGTGGTATATGAGGCTCCTTATTCCAGGCACGGCGGCTCATGCCTATAATCCCAGCACTTTGGGAGGCTGAGGCAGGAGAATCACTTGAGGTTGGGAGTTTGAGATCAGCCAGGCCAACCTGGTAAAACCTCATCTCTTATTACAATTACCAAAAAAAAAAATTACCAGGAAAAAAAAAAAAAATTAGCCACATGGTGGTACATGCCTGTAATCCCACCTATCGGGAAGCTGAGGCATGAGATCGCTTGAGCCAGGAAGGTGGGAGGTTACAGTGAGCTGAGATTGCACCACTGCACTCCAGCCTGGGTCAGAGAGTGACACTCTGTCTCCAAACAAAACAAAAATACTCCTTAGATTAAAACTGGATTCCAGCCTTAGTTCCACAGGTCACCATTCAAGTACTTTGCATCTCTAAGTCTCTGTTTGTTTAACTTCAAAAGGAAGTTATCATTTTCCTTACAGAGGAGTTGAGGATTAAATGAGATAATACTTGGAAAGCATTAGGCATGTAGCGCACTTAGCAGATGGTGGTTGTCTCCCACTGCTTTTCTAGCAGTCTGTGGCCTACAGTTTAAATGATGAGAAAAGGGTATGAGATTTGAGGCTGGGGAAGGAGGCATGGGGTTCTAGGAAAAGGAGGCAGTCACTTAGGCCCGGAACAAGGGGCCAGGGGCCTGGGCAGGCGATAGAGCCCCACATTTCTCTCACTACCCTATCAATGGACCCAGAATCTGGAAGCCAGCCACCACGTGCCCTCACGCCCAGGGTCTTCCTGCAGGTGAAGCTGAAGAGCCAAGAGGCTCAGAGTCTGCGGCAGCAGCCAGACCATTACCTGGGTCACCTGCAGCAGTATGTGGCCACCTACCAGCAGTAGGTGGCCGCCTATCAGCAGCTGACCACTGAGAAGGAGGCACTGCACAGGCAGTTACTGCAGCAGACCCAGCTAACGAACCAGCTGCATCAGCAGGAAGCTTGGGGCAAAGCAGTGGCCAAGATTGCCCGCCAAAAGTTGCAGGAGACCCAGGGGAGGGAGCTGCTGAGGGGGACTCCCTGGCACACTCCGTGCCTTTTCACTCTTTCCTTGCCCCTTAGGAGCTTCTGGAAGCTGCTAGCCAGCAGAAGCAACCCCTACAGGCTCAGTTGAGCCTCACAACTCTCCCTGGGGAAGGTACGGGAACCTGCTCAGAGGAAGAGGAGAGAGCCCCAGGAGGAAGGGGGCACTGTTATCAGCACAGGATTAAGGAGTTGGAAGAGACCTTTAGAACAGCTGGTCATTATGCTGACCAGGTGCCTGCACTAAGTTCGGCATCAATATGGTGACTTCCTGGGAGCGGGGTCCACCAAGTTGCCTAAGGATGGCTGAACTGGCCCAGGTCAGAAAGGGAGCAGGTCAGAACTCCCGCACCGACTAGTAGTGGGACTGTGCCTGGGCAGTATAGCAAGATCTTGGTTCTTAAAAGTAAAAATAAAGAACAGCAGCTTATTCCTCTCTGGGTAGGGGCTGGCTCAGGGTTACACAGTGATGGTGGAGGTAGAGGTGGGCCCACAGTACCTCCCTTGTTAGGTTGTCTAAGGATCCTTTTGGCCACCCCCCACAGGAGATGGAGGAGGACATCTGGACAGTGAGGAGGAGGAGGCACCTCAGCCCATGCCGACCGTCCCGGAGGACCTGGAGAGCTGGGAGGCCATGCTGAGCCTGACTCCCCCTGCACCCATTTTGCCACCTTCCTGTGTGGTCCCTCCAAGACCCCTTTATGCTCTTGGTTTCCCTGCCTTCTGATTTCTCTGGACCCTCACCCCATCTGGGAGCCAGTGGTCAGACACCATTTCACCTGTGACCAACAGCTGCACTTTCTGAGGCCCCAAGGGAAGGGGCTGCACTCCACCTCTCTGCCCCATTTGTTCTGTGTATGCCCCCACAAGAATGCTCACGTCTTGTCTTCTGGTGGCATTTTACAACTCCACTGAAGTCAGTGCCCAGGAGGAGCAGGCATGGTTACAAGAGCAGGTGAAAGAGCACAGAGTGTGCTGCCAGCGCCTGGCTCACCCGGTGGCCTCTGCCCAGCAGGAGCCAGAAGCAGTGATCCCAGCCCCAGTGACTGGGGCCGAGTCTGTGAGTGAGGAGACCCACCAGGTCCTGCAGGAAGTCATGGAGAAGCTGGAGGTGAATGAGTTCTGGCATGGGCCAAGAAGGGCAGGGGTGGGAAAGGCCGCTACCGAGATGTGACCCCATTATTTTGGCTCCAGAGCAGCCTTATGGACCTCCTGGAGGAGAAGGCGGACCTAAGGGAGTGGGTGGAGAAACTAGAACTTCGATTCATCCAGTACTGGAAAGACAGACGCCATCACTGAGCTGGAGGACAGGGCATGGCAGTGGGAACTGCAGGGCTGTCAGAGGGGTCTCAGTGTCTGAGCCCTGTCCTCCCTCAGGAAAGTTCATCACCTTATAACGGAGCCAGGAGGTAGTGCCAAAGATGCGGCACCAGGAGGAGGACATCATCAGGCTGGCCCAGGACAAGGAGGAGATGAAAGTAGGGTGTGCAACATCTCTGATGGGGTGGGGGTGGGCGTGAGGGTGGGCACCGGCATGACAGCTGAGGACCCCTCCCTCCAGGTGAAGCTGCTGGAGCTGCAGGAGATGATGCTGTGGCTTGTGGGGACTACAACAAGGGGCACGGCAAACACCTGGCCACTACCCAGAACCCTGCTGATGAGCCCAGTCTGGGAGCCCCAGCCCCCCAGGAGATGGGGGCTGCCGACAAGCATGGTGGTGAGTAGAGTCCTCAGGCAGGGGCAGGGGAGGCTCACACTGCGCTCAGATCCCCGCCTCCCGCTCCCCAAAGATCTTTGTGAGGTGAGCCTCACTGACAGCATGGAGCACCCAGGCTTGGGCATCAACCCCTGTGTGCCATTCTTTTGCCGGGCTTGGCTGCCGAGAAGAAGGAGATAAACATCACCATCATCGAAGAGCTGGTCAAAAAATTTTACAAAAGGAAACAAGTTATGGGGTTAATCTCCTACCCAATTCATTTACTTCATTGGAATGTTAGAGCCACTCATGATTATTTGTGTTTCTAATTTATACTTTAAGTTTATTTGTAAAAAGTTAAAGGAGAGTGGGTCTCTGTGGCTTTCACTGATGTTCACTGTGGCATTCTTTAGCATTTTTCATTTTTAATTTCATAATCGTTGGTCATTAGCATGCATATCGAGTTTGCCCTTACATGGTGGGAGGTCAAACACACAAAGACCCACTATTTGCACAAAACTATTGTCGCTGGTTTGGAATAGGCTGCTATGCTTTTTTAATGTCATTTCAGCATGTATGTTCATTATGGAATTCAGATAAAATCTGTTTATATTCCGCTATTATGTTTGATCTAATCTTAATCACTGCTCAATATGTGGTTTGCCCTCAAGTGTGCACTGTTTATTACTTTGTAATGTGCCACTGTGAGTACTGACATTTAGAGTTGTTTAAAGGCTGAGAACTGGAAACAGCCTTTCCCCCGTTTTCTGTGTATTTGTGATGGGAATAATGACATTTTGGGGGAGCTTTTCAAATCTCACAGAAGAGGAAAGTGGCCTGCTCTGGCAGGTGTGTGCGGGATAGAGTGTGTTTCATTTGGTCCGGTGCCAAGAATGAGCGCTGTACTATGGTAGTTCCCTCAGGATTTGTATGTGCTCTGGGCTCATGAAGATATTGCACCATGAGCTGCAGCAGTTGTGCTCTTTCTCGATGACCTAAAAGGGATTATTTCTGAGGAATGAAAGGCTCCCATCGTTGACTGTAGATGATGAATAAACAATCAGTTCTAAAACCAAAGCTGATTTTTAGAAAATTTGAAAGTATAAATTAGCCCTTTCCATAATATAGTTTCTCTAAAACTTTATCTGAGTCATTTAAAAATAATATAAGTATTATAAAATGTAACTGCTATCTTAATGTTCTGAAATAAGTTAAAACATTTTAAAATATGAATACTGCAGTTTAAAAGAAAGAAACGGTAGGAAGGAAAAGTAGAGAAAGAAATGCCAGTTCCAGTCCAAAGCTTTAGTTGCCAAGTTTTCTTAGAATGAATTTTACCAATTTATGAATTCTTGTAAACAGAATATATAATGGAAATACTGAAAGACTTTTGCCTGAAGTGGCATTATTGACTGCTGGTGTGATGCTACTGTAATGTAATAAATTATTAAATTGTTGCAAAGTGCTGTTTTTGCCTTAAAATTTTATTTTGTGAGTCTTGAAATCTATAGTATTAAAGGTATTGATACTGCGCAAATGCTGGGCATGCTTGGCATGAGATAATCTGTTTCATTTTTACGAAATTGGAATATAACTATGCAACTGTTTATTAAAAGAACACAAAATAAAAAAATTACGGGATTAAAAATGTTATGGGGTGAAAAAGTTGTGGGATAAAAAATGTAAAAAAGTTGTGGCAAAAAAAAGTTGTGGGATAAAAGTAGAAAAAAGTTTGATGAACAGTTACAAAAAAAAGTTATGAAAAAGAAGTTATGGGATTTTTTGAAAAGTTATGGGATAAAAATAAAAATTAAAAGCAGGCCCCTGTCAGCAAAGCCTGGAGAAGTGGGGCTGGAGTCTCTACTGCCACCATGTCCCTACCACCCCTTCCCAGTCACCCTGTTACAATTAGGGTAGCAACGCAAGACCTCTGTCTACTGGGAAAAGACAAACAGACCCTTTGCCGCCTTGACCAGGGCTGAGTCCTTAGATTTCTGGATGATGATGATGATTGTTATTTAAGAGCCAGAGGCTGGTGGAGTTGGTTTGTTCGGAGGAAGCCTGATGGCCTCCTTACTCTCACCATAGCAAGTTTTCCCTCAGGGGGTCTCCAATCTTCTTATTCAGAGAGGTAGCTGAGGCGGGACAGTGGGGCGAACTGTGGACCAGGTGAGGGCACGGGCTGCTGGGGTGGCCCCCTTCCCCGATGTACATATTGTGTCTGTGTAATGTTTTGTATATTCCAGAGGGTAGGGCCACCCCTGTATCGTAGCTAGCGGAGGTTGGAGCTGGCACATGGGGAGGAGGGTCTAATAATTATTTGTGGCTGGGAAACTTATTTATTGCTAGCATAGGACAGAGGAAGGAGGAGAGGATGGAGTCGTGACTCCCTGGTGATTGGACTCCTGTTTATTTTGCTTTTTATTTTGGAATAAATGGATTTAGCCATACTGCTCGGCCTGGTGTGTTCCCATTTCCCTCACTGGGTCCTGGAGTTTGTGCCACCGGATGGGGAGCCCCAGAGTGTCTGAGCATGTCCAGTTGGGCTGTTGGGGACCTTCCAGGCCTGTTACCTGTTGCTGCCTGGTGACACCTGGGGGATTCCATGGGGAATGCTATGGAGCCTATGGGGTGCAGTCCAGCCCTGACAGCCAACAGACTCAGAAGCCTGATCTGGCGGTGGCCGGGAAGACAGGTACCAGCACCTAAGGGCACTGACCTCCACCCACCCCAGGCTTCTTCTGTTCTGTCCCCTTGCCTCCCTCTACTGTCTGCACCTGGTGGCCTGTTCCATCTGTCCCTCTAGAGTGCTGGCTGCCCCTCAATCTCCCTCCAGGCTGAGTTCATGGCAGCCCCCTGTTGGCCAGAGCCAGCTTCACAGGATAAGAGCCAGCTAAGCTTCAGGGGCTTTCCAGGAAAAGTGTCACTTGGAAAGGGTATGGCTTTTTCACCACTCCCAACAGCACCCTAGAAATGGTTCGGTCTTTCTCCTCCTGTGAGCTCCATAGAGAACACGGCCAGCAGAGGATGCATTTCCACGTCATCCAGAAATGGGTTTGATTCTCAGCCAAGGGACAGCAGGACTGGCAGAGACTGTCAGGCCACACAGAGGCCTGCACAGCACTGCCATGCTTGGTTGGGGGCGGGAGGGACAGCGGGTGTTGGCTGTCCACAGGCCGGGCATGACAGGGAGGCTCACTAGAGGTGGTGCACTTTGGAAGGCCAATGTTAGGGGACAGATTTCTCTTGTTGGGCCACAAGACTCCACAAGACCAGCATGGTGACTGATTCCCAGTGCTAGAGGCGAGGCGGTCGGCCACCTGTTGGGGTGTGTGTGTGTGTGTGTGTGTATAATATATTATATAGGTATTTATAGATGTTTATAGACCAGGGCAGGGGCGTACCACAGAGGGGTCACAAGTTTTCGGCAATGGTCACACCTGGATGTGTCCGCTCACCACTACAACAGACTAAGTCACAGATGTAGGGGGCTGGCTTTGGGGCTGGGGGAGCCATTGTCAAGTCACAGAACAGTTGCCCAGGCAGGCTTGGAAAGGGAGGTCTCCAAGAAGTGGAGGGATCTGTTTAGAGGTCGAAGGAGTGCCTGGGCTCTGAGGACGGGATGGTCTTGCCTGACCCAATCGACTGGCAGTTGGAGAGAAAGCAGAGAGAAAACAGGAGAGAGAAAAGCGAGCAGAGAGCTGGTGAGGCAAGTGCAGAGCACAGATGTGCCACAGCAGCTGTGGTAGGGCCGGGGAGGGGAGGGCGCATGTGTGAGTGTGGCAAGCTTCCTGGAAAAGAGGGGTTGGAAAGGAAAGGGGAGGAAGATGGAGGAGCCAGAGCTTCATGGTTAGTGCCTGGGGGCTGCGGCAGCCCTCCCCACCCCACTCACGCTGGCCTCGTCCACGGCACCCAGGTAATGCACCCACCGGTCAGACCAGTGCTCAGCCTCCTCGGGCTTCCCTCTTCTCTGGTCACCCTGTCTTCCAACCCACTGGCCCAGGGCCACCTCTCGCTTTTTGGAACCCAATGCAGCAGCCACCAGACCTGATAGAGAAGGAACAGTGCTTGAACCAGGATGATGAAGCTAAAAGGGATGGATGGCTGGAGTGATTGCCGGAGCTTCCTCTGGGCAGTCAGAAAGCCCAGGACGCTGGGGGAGGCAGGGAGGGCAGGCAGCCGGATGCCACTGGCTATAGACGTATAAGTCTAGGAGGGGGAGTCTCAGCTTGTTGGGGGTTGCAGGTCGCACAGGTGAGGCTGGGCCCTTCCTGTTGGGAGAAGCAGAAGAGGGAGAGTCCATGGCAAGGGAGGTGGGCGGGCTTGCTGGGCGGAGCTCAGCCGGGCCAGCAGGCACTGTGGTCCCCTTGGCTGAATAGCAAAGGCGACCTCTAGAAGCAGCTGGCCAAGGTGTGTGAGTCTGCTGGCTGGCAGTAGTGCTTCAGTGGGGGCCAGGGACCCTGCCTTCAGCCACACACTAGCAGCTATGATGGTACCTGGGAGGGAGAGAAAGGGGCTGTGTGTCCCTGCCTGGCCTGTGAGGTGTGCTGTGGGTTGATCGTGTGTATGGAACTCTCAAGGTTTTATCCTAGATCACTACTGGATTGCCGACAGATAGAGGAGGTGGGACCCTGACTATCACCCCTGCCTGCTCTGCAGTGGATTTGGCTCTCAGCACTCCCAGGCTGGGAGCTGGATGCCCTCCCCTGGCGCATGACTCAGACTGCACAACAGGTACAGCAGGCCCAGGATGACATTGCTAGGCCTCTGGCCA